GGAACCTAATTATGAAAGTTTTCTGAGAATGAAATTAATACTGTAATACACTGAATAAAAGACCATAATACCAAAACAAGAACTTATGAAAGATACAGGTAATACTGTATTATGCAGTAATAGATTTGTGTCACAAAAAAAATAGTCTAAAAATTTTTTTACTTATATCTTGTCTTGAGTACTTTTGTGTACATTATTTGGGAAATTAAACTTGCTATGTTATACAAAATACATATTATTTTAGAAAAACCTATAAGTATTATTTCAAAGTATACTTGTATTTACTATTTTGAAGCAATGTAATCTGCTTTTTACCTACATTATAGTTACAATGTACAAGTTAGGAGTATAATATTAGATCTAATAGTAACTAGTAAAGGATTTTATTAAATAAAGCAAGATGGTATTATATTATTTAAATCAAATCTTGCTAAGAAAGAGGCTGCGAGTTGGTGAAATGAATAATAAGTTGTTAAAAAAGCTTGTTTGAGGAAACGGGTTAGTAAAATGGGCTAGTAGGATAAAATAGTAACTATAAATATAGTATTTTACAGAAGTTAAAATAGTGGAAATAACATAATTATGTTATTTCCACTTAGTCTAGGTTATTCCCACTCAGGTATGACAACAGAAATATGTCACCGTCATCAGTGTTGTGACGACAGAAATACGTCACCATCATCAGAGATATATTAGTATTTGCTCCATCATTCAAGTGATGAATAATTCACGCTTGCATCATCATTCGAGTGACGATTGGTTCACGAGTTCATCGTCACACTTAGGTACCCATAATCTATAAAAAATATGATAACTTATTTGTGTTCACATCGTCATATTTAGATACCTCATGATCTATAAAAAATATGACGATAATTTTATATTCACGTCATCACACCAAAATGTATCAATATTTTTGTCCTTAGTTGACCCTAATTGACCCTAGTTGAAATTTTACTAGGGCCACTACTAAGGCTGACTTTTTGACTTTTTAAAACTGTTTGATTTCTTTCTTTTATCCCTGTCTCTAATAACTCTAGTGTCTTTAAGAAAAATAAGATTCTAGAAAAAAAATCATTACTCTATGGTACCTACTATATATAATAGATAATACATATATACGTATATATATATAACACATATGTATGATAAACAAAGAAAAATAAAAAGTAAGAAACTCAAGATTTTGCTAGGTTCACTAGGGTTACTAGGGACAGCTATTCGAGAAAAGGTTCTATAATCTGAAAATTATTAAATTGCTAGTCTTACTTCTAACCCCAGCAATTTTTTTTTCTAGGGCCAGTTTTTTCTAGAGACAATAAACAACAATTTAGTTTTATCGAGGATCCGTGTCAAAAATTCTATTGTTTGCCTGTTTTGTACCATTTTAGATAGCTTATTCTGATAATAAAAGGCTTTAGCATGACATTTATATGTATGTAAATTATATAAGCTATATTTAGAAGCAGTCGGTTTACCACATTTCAAACAGGGGATGTGTTGATGCCTTTTCCAATAAATAGCGCATCCTTCTTGCCAATAGCAAGGCCATCCACAGATCTCCCCCTCATTGGTAGGATACTGACAAATATAAGTTCCTGTCATCGATTATTATTTATTGAAACTTACTTAATTCTATATAATATTATCTTAGGCAAAAATATTCAATAATTATTTTCGATTTAAACTTTTTTATCAGGGTAATATATTACAAAAATAACCTGACTTTACCAACTATGTATACCCAAGAAAACATCGATTACGCGTTAGCAGAATTAGAAGCACTACCTTCTTGACCAGAGAGCCCAGAAAACTCAGAAAATTTCGAGCCAGAGATAGAGAAAGAAAATAGCAGGGCATTCTACTGCCGGGGGCTTAAAGCTTTTCCTCAATTACAGATTTCGAAAAGTAAGGAGAAAAGCCAGGTATTTTACTATGATGAAGAAGAATATTTACTGATTCATCCAAGTCGCAATATAATAATCGCTGAAAATGAGAACTATGAATCAACAGCAACTATTAATCAGGATTTAATTAATGGGAAAGATATCCCATTTATGCCTTGTGACATAGAGGAATATAATGAGTATATAAATAATACCCCACACTATGTTTTACGACTTTATGGTTATCTTGTTAACGGTCAAAAAGCTGTAGTAACTATTTTAGGTATTAAAGTTTTCTTCGATATTCGTATTCCCAATAATGAGAATACAAAGTTATTTGAGTCTAAGGTAAAGGATATTCTTATTAAAGGAAAAGATGATGAAGGAGAAACTGTAGATATGACTGAGCTCCAAATAAAATATGTAAAGGCTTTTCCGATCAGGAGATATCATTCAGAAAAATTGACATATTTACGTATTGTCACAAATACAAAAAAACAAAGATCTATAGCTCTTAATATTATTCTAAAACATAATTCAGAAATTGGAGGTACACATAAGCTGGAAACAGCCTCAGATGATACGAGAGTATATTATCAAAAAGTTGCTAAAGAATATAGGATACCACTTTCTAGATAGGCATTATTAACTAATTTTAAATACAATAGCAATAGAATACCTTATAGTGCTCGCTCACCACTTTATGAATATGCATTTTATGTACCTATTAATAATTACCGCTCTATGGAAAATCCCTCAATTTTATACAAAAAGTATCTTTCACAACTTCTTACTCATGATTGAGCATTAGTCCTTACCTGGGACATAGAAACATGTTCAACGCTTGGATTAGACCATTTCCCTATAGCGAAATATAAAGATAATAATATATTTATGATTTGTATGACTGTTCACTGGAAAGATGATCCTACCCTGTTAAAACAAATCTGCCTTGTTGATGTGGAAACGGCACTGGACCCAAATTGGATCACAATTATTTGTGGAAATGAAAGGAATCTATTAAAGGCATTTGCTCTATGCTGGCGGGCTTTAGCTCCTGATATCAAACTCACTTTTAATAGATCCAAGTATGACTGGTCATTTGTAGTGAAAAGAGCTACCCAACTAAAAATTCTAGATTGGATGATGGCAAAGATGTTAGCAAACTCACGAAAAAAGGCTACAATCGATTCTATTCTTCGTTGGAGTTATTGTGGAGGGGTAGGTGAACCTTTCTATAAAGATTTCTTTCATAAAGAGCAAACATGAGGGTCTTCCAAAAAAGAAATCAAAGGTAACAAAAAGAAAAGGAATCGGGAAGGGATCGAAATTAAAATTACCTTAGATAAAAATTTTATATCTACTTTTCTCAAGGTTCTCAGTTGCATTCTAATAGATATGAAAGTATGTTGTGAAAAACTTTATCCAAAATCTGAGAAAAAATCACTCAACTATTTCTTAGGGATACATGGTCTTGGTAGTAAAATAGATTTACCAATAAAAGTTATGAGAGAATATTATACACGAAGCAAGGAGAATACCTCACTCGAGACTACTGAAAATATACGTAAAATTGCTAAATATTGCATTAAAAATGCTTTAAGTTGTCAAGAACTTATGGTTAAGAGAAATATAATAAATGATTACAGAGAGGTAGCCTCAATTGCATATGTTTCTTTATTCGATTCGCACTACTATGCTGGGGGTATGAAGGTATATAATCTATTAGGTGCTGAAGCGTGGAAAAGAGATATATTAATTACTTTGATTTCTTCTAAGCAAAAAGAAAAAGGCACGTTTCCTGGAGCCTATGTATTTCCACCAGATAAGGGTTTAGAAAATAAGCGGCCTGTCACAGGTTTGGATTTCGCATCTTTATACCCAAGTATTATAATAAACTATAATCTCTCACCTGAGAAAATGACTCTATCGCCCAAAGAAGCAGATAATTTAAAAGAAGCGGGCGAGACCTTCTATAAAATCGAGTTCCCTTTCAATGGCCGAATTTTACATGCATGGTTTATAAGACATGAAAATAAAAATAATAAAATGGAGTTATATCCATCAGTTTTAAAAGAGCTCCTTAATAAATGAAATAAAATGAAGGCTCAATTAGAAATACTTAGCAATATAAAAGAGTATATGGAATTAGTAAATAGTAAAATAAAAGAGATGAATTTGTCAGTGGCTGATGCTATTGATCATACTCTGAAAAATGTGGAAGATAAAGAAAAACATGTCAATATGAATGAAATCTTGATTCCTTTCATTAATGAAACCTATGAGAATTTCATTAAAGAATATGATTCCATCTGTTTTGATCACACTTGCTTGGATTCAAAACAAAAAGCAGTAAAAATTTATATGAATACCTTCTATAGAGAAGCAGGAAATAGTTTATCCCCATTCTTCTTCTTAGAATTAGCTAGTGATATCACATTGGCAGGACAATATAACATTAAACTTGTTGCTGAGTATGTGACTAAGAAAAAAGATTTTGGAATCAAATATGGGGACACTGATTCTTTATATCTTACCTGTCCTGTTAAATGTTATAAAGAATATGATCTTGCTTATAATGATGGTAAAAGCACAATTTTGAAATTGGGATATTGGACTGAAATGGTTAAAATAACTATAAAAGTAATAGAAAAATTGTGCAATGAAGTGAATACGTATCTTAAAATAAAAAGTAGATCAACTTATCTCAAAATGGCTTATGGAGAAGTTTTATTTCCAGTAGTATTTACAGGTAAGAAAAAATATTTCAGAATTGAGCATAAAGATAAGCCAAATTTTGAACTAACAAAAAAACTTTTTATTAGAGGTATCGATACAATAAAGCAAGGTAAGTCCCAACTTTTTAAAACTATAGGAAATCGAATTATATGGGGTGCAATGGATATTAACAATAATCAAACACTCCATGAGATTGTTGAAGAGATTCTTAAAGAGGCTATAACCAATCCCAATCAATAGGATTTTGATCAATTTATAGAAACTGATGCATGGAAACCTAATGTAGATAACAAACGTGTTTAGCGATTTATAGGACAGATGAAAGAAAAATATAAAAACAAGATTCCTAATCTAGGAGAACACTTTAGTTATGTAATGGTTTATCCTGATAAAGTTTTTGATTTATCTGGTTTTAAACTCACTATAAGAAAGGCTGATCAAATGGAATTCGCGGATATTGCAAAAGAATTAAATAGAAAATTAGATCTATCCCATTACTTCGAAAATATTATTAATGGACTTTGTGCCCAATTTATTATGTATGATAAAAAATATGAACCACCATCTACTAACAAAATCATGAAGATTACTAATTCAGATGAGAAATATAAACAAATTAATATATATGCTCAAAACAAGGCCAAGAAGTGGCTTGAGTTATATATTAAGGAGATAAATGTGATAGATGGAATCGCTTATAAAATAATATCTAATCGTGAATATGCTTACAAACACGCTTACAAGAATGCAATCAAAACTGTGCAATTTATATTATATCAGAAGGTAGATAATACCTACGAGATATTTCATAGAGAATAGCTTAGTTTTGAGGATTTTAAGGCAACCAATAATGTTGAGAGATTATAGGAAAAGTTCATAGAGTATGCCAGAGTATATACTGAAAATGATAATCTCTTGATAAGTGAATAGATAAAAAAATCAATATGCTCTAATTTTACGAAACATCTAAATGTACTTATCCCAATTATCGAGAAATATGATGTTTTCTTTTATAAGTTAGTATATCATATGCGATATAAAGAGCATATAACAATCCCAGATAAAATTGGCCAACCTGAGACTATGAGAAAAAATGAGATGATTACTGAACAACCTACCTTATCTCATATATCGAAAACAGATCAATTAGCACTTGAGAGTTTTCTAAATACATAGAACAAGGCAGTCAGCTTACTATAAATATATCTTTATATTACTATTGTATATATTTTTTTGTATATAAATAATACCCAAGTTTAAATAGATAGTTCCTAATATCTAGTTCACATATCCTGTAACTGATCATTTTTTTTACTTATACTCAATCCATGTCTCAATACTACGAACCACATAACTGCGATAATTAACAAAATAAGAAAAATATATGCTGATAGCGGTGACATCAAAGTGCTTGCCACAGCAGGAAGAAGCAAAGCCTCGGGACCAGGCCTCATCTGAGAATTCGATTCAATAAAAGTGTACATATTATCCTCACTAATTTCGCTAATACTAGTTTCATTACTTACCTTGGAGTTGGTCTCAGTATCATTTTTTGATAGTTTGATAAATTCATTATTAGTATATGTTAATATATTACCATCATTTTTTTCAGTTTGATCCATATTTTTTCCACGTATAAAATATTTACTGAGATTAGTACTACCCAAAGATATATTATCAGACTTAGTAATATTTTTTTCATCATCCCCACCAACTATGGGTTTTGATATAGTCTCCGATTTCAGACACTCAAGCTTATTGACCTTTGATGAGACATAGTTTCGATGCTTCACCTCTTCCAATTTGCTCTTTATATTTTCTAATTCAGCTATTTTGGATTTGAGAGACACGATCTTAGTTTCTTTTTTCGATGAGTCACTTTGAATCGAAATCACATCTTTCTGGACTGAAGATAACTTACCTTCTAATATCTTGATCATAGACTCGAGTGATTTGATTTTTTTAGATTTTATATTATTCTCAGCTTTGGACTTTGCAAGAGAAATATCTTTATTAGCGTTTTCAATCTGTAAATGCCTAGCTTCATCAATAAGTTTGAGATCATGAGTGCGTAATTTCTAGATCTCAGTATTAGCCCCTCCCAGTTTTTTACCTCACTTCTCTCTATCCTGATCCCATTGTTCTCTCTTTTGATTAATTTTTTTTTCTTGTTTTTTATACCTATCTCGCAATTTAGCATTATATAAGACTATTTTAGAAGAATCTTAGAGGGCAATATATAATTCTTTCTTAAGATCTATCACATTGTCCATATTAAATAAAGAGAATTATTATGAAAAATAACAAAATATAGAACATATATATGATAAAATATATGATAGAGACACTATTACTTTGTAATAACTCTTCGAGTCTAGCTTTGCTATAATTATCTAGTAATGCTATCAAAGAAATTACACTTCCAATATAATTCAACAATAATAGATAATTACCGATTTTTTTAGAAAATTATTGAATATTAAGTATGTAATTACCTATGATTATCGATCATTTTTTAACATAAAAGAAATAGGAGTATTTTAGTATTTTCAATAATTTTTGATAATTTTTTATAATTATAAAAAGGATGGAACACATAACTGTAGAGTATTATTGTGCTGGTACTCCTTATTTATCACCAGAAGCTATTGAGGAAATTATTCAATCTCGAGGGATAGTTAAAAATGCATGCAGGGAAATGGCTAATAGATATAGTACTTCAACTCATAGAATATATAAAATTTGAAAAAGACATGCTGAAGGTATACCCTTGCGCAAACAGCAACTAATACATAGTGTTGTTTCTTCTGAAATAATGTCTGAAAATAATACTTCAGATAGAAAGTCAAAGAAAAGAAACCCAGGATCCAGTTCTAGATCTGTTCGGGTATCTGATTTAGTAAATATTCTGATAAAAAAAGTAGTTGAAATGGATGATTTACAAGCTAGGCTTGCACAAAATCGCAAAGAAAGAGAAGAAGCTAAACGTGAGATGAAAAGAGTCTTAGATTCCAACTAATCTACTTTTGTTTTTTCTAGAGTAGTTTGTAGACCCAAAGGGCCATTGCTGGGCAATAATCTACATACCATTTCAATATCAGACTCATTTCTATAGGTCTGTAGTTTTTTATTAAACTCGATTAATTCAGTATTGGATTCGAGTATCTCATATAGTGATTTTTCTAACTCCTCATAGCTCATGCATTTTTTTTAAAGTCGAATCTAGGCTAAAACCCGCAGGAGCATGCCATTCCTCTAATAGATCATTATTGCTCTCATTACTATCTGCCTCTTGAGAAATTTGATCAGATACCAAAGGCTTAGATGTAATAGTATCCTCGTTATGTGAGCCATTTTGAGTCACAGTAGTGTAATTTACTTTGAGATTATTTTTTACCTTGTGCATAGTAACTGAAATAATGTGATCCTTTCTATTAAAAGAAATTTTCAACTCATCTTTATCTCAATTTATAGCATATTTATATTTCTTGAGAAGTGGGTTTGGAAATATCAATGTTGGTTTAGGAACACGTACAACTACAAAATCTTCACGTATAGTAAAACCTGGAGGAAATAATATTGAAAAATTATGAGCAATACCAATAGATTCTGTTAAAACTGTAGCAACCCCACTAAGATTATATTTTTCTAATTTATCAATTGGCTAATTTACATGTTTAACAATGTCTTCTGATGTAATTAGAGGTTCAGCTCTACTATCTAGTACCAATATTGAAATTTTTAAACATTTGATTTTAACTAGTATAGTTGCACGGCTTGTGGTAGGTTCCTTTCTTCAAACAAAATCTATCTCTATAGGATTATTCAATGTCTTCTCTTCACCATCTGATTCAGGTATTTTTGGGTTCGGCTCTCGATAATTTATAAAGTCAGGTTTTGCAGGCCCTTTAGGGGCGACTCTTTGAGTCATAGATAAATTCAGATTATTAATATTGTTTTTAATTGTTTCTATAACCTCTGGATCGTTAAACATAGCTAGAATAATTTTTTGAATTTGTGAGTCAATAATCATACCTGATTTCTTTTGTGAAGTACATTTTTTTGGACTAGATTTCTTCTTAGAGGATAATTTAGGTACGTAAGCATCCTTATTTCGTAAGCCAGATTTCTTTACTTTTTTTTTATCTTGCTAATATTAATATTCATACTTTCAACTTCAGATGAAGACTCTTCAGACTCAGATTCATTATCGGAGGAATCAGATCCAGAATCACTACCAGAAGAATTGTTAGTATTTGAGCTTGAATCCAAAGTAACTTTATTAATATTACCTTTCTTTTTGGACCTACTCTTCTTTTTATTTCTCGGACACTTGTGAGAATTATGTCCAGTCCTATTACAGTTTGAGCAATGGTGTTGTAACTTTATAGCTTTTTTAACAGCCCTAGCTATGTGCAACTTCAACTGCTTCTTCGTAAGATTGGCCAATTTATGATCTGAATTGACTTTGTCATTTTTTAAAACATTTTCTTCATTTTTCTTAAGCAAGAAAGAAAAAAATTTATCAACTACTCCTTTAGTAATTGTATCTATTAAAGAATGTAAAGTAGATGGACCTGCTAAAGCACTAAGATGATCTGTCACACTATCTATTCGAAGCCATTCTTGATCATTCAAGTATAGATTTGGGTCTCTATATATTTTACCTGGTTCTATTTGACTAGAACGTTTCAACTTGTTACCTGGCGCAGATTGAGTAGATGCTATTGTATTTCTTACCAACTCTTTGATTTTAGTTTTAGTCATCACCAATTTGTTAATATCTAGATTATAAGTTTTTCTTGTTGATACCAAATCTGAATTTGAATACAGATAAGCTTCAGATAATTGCTCGGCCTTATATCTTTCAATCTCTTCGAGTTCTGTGAGCAATTTAGAAACAGGCCTGTTAATTCCAATGTGTTGAATTTCTAATTGGTTATCGGGGAAGATGCCATGAAGAAATTGTAATCGAATTTGTTGTTCATCAATGCTAGCAAGTCTAGCCAATTTACGCAATTTTGAATAGAAAAGACCAATGGAAGAGGTGAAGCCTCGAGACTATGTCTCATCGAAGGTAAATGAGCTTGAGTGTCTGAAATCGGAGACTATATTGAAATCAGAGACTATATTGAAACCTGTGATTGGTGGAGATATCAAAAAAAATATATCGAATTCTAGTAATATTTTTGTAGTTAGTGAACCTATTAAAGATCTTAGTCAATATTTTGGATACAGAAAAAAATTGAATCAAGCTAAAAAAATCAATAATGATATCTCAGCACAAACTAATAATAAGATTACTGAACTATCAAAAGTTGGTACTGAGATTAGCTCTAAGATAAATGAGAAAAATAACATTAACGAAATTAGTGAGGATATCATACCCCAATCTCAGATTTTAGTAGGAGGAATAGAAGCAATGAGACCTAGTCTCGAGGCTTTGCCTCTTCCTGCTGTGGCAAACACTTTAATGTCACCACTATCGGTATATATTTTTCTTGCTCTGTTAATTATTGTGGTTGTGTGGTTTGTAAGATGCATATAGAATATAGGTAGGCTCGAAGTGCCATTGCTCCGCATGCTGAAGGAGTGACTCTAAAGGGTCATAAAAAAAGTGTTCGGTTGTGGGATATGTGAATCGGGTAACAAAGACTATCTATTTGAACTTGGATATTATTTATATACGAAAAAATATTTATTGTATAGCCTCATAAATATTGTGTTATATTTATATTGAGTTGACTGCCTTATATCATATATTTAGAAAACTGTCGAGTACTAGTTGATTAGCTTTCATTATATTGGATATAATAGGTTGCTCAACAACTATCTCATTTTTTCTCATAGTTTCGAGTGGGCCAATTTTATCTGGGTTTGATACGTGTTCTTTATATCGCATGTGGTATACTAATTAATGAAAAGAGGTATCATATTTTTTGATAATTGAGATAAGTGCATTTATGTGTTTTGTAAAATTAGAGCATATAGATTCTCTTACCTCAGTACTTACTGAGAGATTATTATTTTTAGTATATGCTTTAGCATACTCTATGAA